GTCGTCGTTCTTCTTCTCTCTCTCTCTCTCTCTCTCTCTCTCTCTCTCTCTCTCTCTCTCTCTCTGCATGGACGCGAGAGCAACGAGGTGCATACTTGACACGGACGATAGCTTCCTCACGAGATCGCACATCGCGGTGATATTCTACGTTTTATTCTTGTTCAGCCGGAACGCGTTTGGATCGTTTGATTACCGCAGTTAAAACACCGACTATAAATATAGTTCTTCATTGGCGGTTTTAGTTACGCTCCGCTCCCCGCAGCGAGCGTATCGCATCGTTGAGTCCCGCGTATATATTGTTGCGAAGATTTTGATGAATCTCATCTCTGATGATTCCGCGAGAAGATTAAGATAAAGTCGGCTGGAGAATCTGGGAGAGAAGGAGAGAAAATGCGATAGTTTTTTAGGATGCGCTTTATATGAGCGGTGAAAAAGAAGAGCGTTTCTCTCTTCCCTCGAAATGTGGGAACGTTAATCCGATGCTGCAGCACGCAGGTAGAGGCATTGCTACTATATTCCGACGCATACGACTCCCGCAATGTAATGCGAGCTTGTTGCATTGAATAACTGCAGGATCCCGTATGTGCACAGCGGACCGAAACGTCGTCGCGTCGCGTGTAGCCATATATTCGCCTCGTGGCGTTGCCCGCGGCATAATCCTGACACGCGCACAAATTTGCACCGCCTGCCTCCCGCAAGCTCTTGCGAATAACTTTTCTGCTTTGGAATGAATGCTGTACGGCGCAATTCTCGACCTTAGTGGATTATGGATGGCATCTTACAAAATGCTTAATGCCACGCGTGTTTAGCAATGCTCGCAACAAAGTTCAACATTGTAGACATATTTTTCAGCGCTTCTTTATTAAAAAAGAAGACGTAAATCAGAAAGAATAATTGTTGAACAAATATATGCGTGCGTAATGAAGTTGTTATCTTGATGAATATCGAAAAAAAATCTTGTATAAAGAACTAAAAAGAATTTATAAGGATAAACCAAGTTTCTTGAATAATTAATTAATTTAATGATTTACAGAGGATTGTTTGTAATATCAAAGTTTTTCGAATTAGAATAATTGAAGATATTCTTAAAAATTGGAGTAATATCACTTTTTAAGTGATTCGAGTCACGCGTACAGCGAATAGTGATCAAAATTCAAGATGGAAATTGCGAATAGCAATTCGTATTCACTCTGCGTCGAACACGAATCTGTGACGTTTATTGTAGCATTTAGCGTATTCGAAATAGGATATTCCTAAGGGAATTATAACAGGCTAGTCGATATCGACAGGTGATTCGCGTGATTTTCACTCACGAGCGTACACACGATTTTATATGGCGTCTCCGTCGATTGTACGGCATCAATTTTTCACTAGCCGTGGCACGGCAATTTCGTTTTCGGCGTCAACAATGAAGTGACGTTCATAATGGTAGCCGTGAGAGATAACGAGTCCGCGGCGTCGTCTCAGACTGTAAGAAACGTGTTAATGGCAATCGTGAATTACAACGGGCCGCGACTTACACGCCTGTCGAACCGGTAGCCAGCGCCTTAATGGCGCAAGTTGCACCGATCACGCGGAGGAAACGGACTTCCATCGCGATTAACATCCGACGGGGTTTCGATTTGCGACGCGTGTCTTGCGAAGCATGCAACAAAGTTGCACGGCGGCAACCGTGACAGTATATCAAGGATAATGGCACGTGAATTTTTTCGTGAAGTATACAATTTGATTACATTCTTGCGTTATGCTGTGAGCTCTGATTAATGCTAATGAAAGGATTAAATAACGTGTCATTAAAAATAAGTGGAAATTAAAAGGCAAAAAATATATACGAAAAATACACTTGTTAGATTATATAATAATTTATTGTAGAAATAATTTATCATTGCGAAAAGTGAATTGAAACTTTGGTGAGAAAAGTTTTATATTTATATTTTCACCGGCGCAATGTTCAGGTTTCACTCCTGCACAATGCATTTTGTGCATTAGTAGTTGATATATAATGCTGTCACGGCACGGCGCGACAGCATTATACGGCGCTATCGACGAATGCTTCTTGCGCGTTCTCTTGCCGGGGTTCTCTTGATGGCGGCTCGGCTTTCAAACGACTTTCATTAGAACCTTAATTATCCACCGCGGTAATATTGTGTTTTCGAACTATTTAGCGCGGCGTACGGTGTAACAAGTATATGATACGCATCGATTCTCGCGTTATTAAGTCCGTAGAAAAGAAGTGAGAATGAAAAGAAACGCGCCAATAGAGGCTTTGATTTATAAAGCTGTCGAACGGCGCTAGTCGCAGCCTAATTACATGGCTTGCAGTATATTTTTTATCGCACCAAAAAAACCTTACAAAAAAATACGCCAAGTACATAAAAAATATTCCAATTTGTACGCAATAAAAAGTTTAAAAAATATTCACCTCTAAAAAATAATAATTAGTAAATAACTTACTCCAAAAAATAATCCTAAAAAATATTATTTAAAAAAATATTTATATCAAAACTAAATATGAAATCAATAATCACTTAAGCAAGTATATAGAAACAATTCAATTTGTAAAATCAATCTTACATTTGTAAAAATATTATACATTACAGATTATAGATTAAAAAAAGACAAATTTAAATATAAAATAAATTTTTAATTAAAAAAACTTGGCGCTGCTAAACTGTTTGCTATAGTTTTATTTAATCTGTTTTTATACTATCTTTTGTTATCGATTCCCTGAATACTATTTCAGTTAATTCTTAAACAACTTCATCATGTCACTAATAATTTCCGTGTATTTTATGTTACAGATAAGCTTACGAAAAACTCTGTTGCTGCGCATCGTGTCGGTAAGTTTATTTTATTTTGATATCATTAAGAAAATAAATATAAAAATATCCCAGACTGACCGTATCACTTACTAATAGCGGATTTCTAAGATTTTTTATATGATAAGAATATAGAAATTAATATGTGCCTAAGCGTGCAAATTTTTGACAACTTAATTAGATTTAAACGTTTTTTATTTAAAAATTATTGGGAACATTTTTATATGAAAATTTTTGCTTTTGAATGACTTTAGAAATTTGCTATTACGATTATATGGTCTGCGATACTACTGTATTTATATCTAAAGGAGTATTATTCACGCAGCAAACAAATCCGCTGTTAATGATTATCATGAATTATAATACCAGCTTACGAACAGCTAAAAAAATTGAACTCGATCACTGCAATATTTTACGAAGATAAAATTACTGATAATAATAATTACAGTAATAATAACAGTATGTAAGGTTTTTATGTAATAGAAGTTTTACTCTACAATTTAAGTAATTGTACACAAAAGGAAGCAACGCGTTGAAATTTTTAAATATCTTTAAGATAAAGAATTTCAAAAATAAAGTATTGTGAACGTAATTAAAATGAAACCATTAGTGACTGATCATATTTGCGGGATAGAAAATTGCTTTTACATTATGACATTATACTAATTGTTCAATCTCTTAATGAAATTGAATACGTATTAGATTTAATTAAAATGATAGATTCATTAGAGCGTTTTCAATTAAAGCTTTGGATTGCTGTGAAACCAATCAAAATTAATTTTCGTGAATTCATATACGATTATAAATGTACTCGAATGCGATTTACAACGAAGTAGAACGACATCGTTAATCGATTGGATTAGAATTTCATTAGAACTTCATACTCCCTTAATTGTCGTCACAAGCTCGCCAGGCTATTTTCATCGAAGACGATACGATTTCCAGTCAATCATCTCGCAAAAGAAAGAGCGATCCGATATCATGTGAGGACGAACAAACTCCATAATTACTGAGATCGTATACTTACGGATGTGGGCCATCCGGTATATAGACGGCGACGGTGATTATCATTTGCGTCAGCTAGAATATACGTTTATCCGCAGGCCCGAATGATCGTGTAACACGATCAAGCAATTATTGGCGGAAGGCTCACGGAAGGTGGAATCGTTTTCTAGTAATATCCAACATGACCGACATCCGACCCAATCTCGGTAGTTTAACCCTTAAGCATTATCACGTTCCACACTGAAGTCGTTATCCTCCAGAAGACTTTTAGATAATTCCGTCTATATTTTCTTCATATTACGTTCAGGCGGACGATCATTCTCAGGGATGTGAAGCTAATTATTATAACTTATAACTTCTAAGAATTATGTGCAGAGAGCATATTCTTTTTTGCATTTCATGCGATGTGTAATTTTAGAAAATTGGTTAATATTTCTAAGCGAAATTATTCTGCAGGAAGATTGAAGATTTAAATTATATTAATTCGCATGTATTCCCGCCCTCGACAATGTTGTATATTTTCCAGTAACGTGTATTTGCTCGAAAAGAACGCAGAAATAATTGATCTTTACATAGATATAATAAAATAAGCGTACGGAGAGCTTGAAGTTGAAATAATCAATATCGCTCAAATAGAAATTGTTAAACGTTATATTTGTTTGTGTAATATTTGTCTTTCTGGGCTTTTATTAAATCAGGAAATCATATCTCTTTGATCGTTTTAAAGTTTTCAACATTGGTTACTCTGAAGTTTCAAGTATTGAAACTTTCAGAGTTTCAAGCATTAGTTATTCTAAAGTTTTGAACATCGGCGACTCTCTGGTGTTTCAAGGATTGGTCGTTTCACAGTTTCCTAAATCATACAAGTGTGAAAAGCTTATGTAGTTTTAGATAAAAGAACAACATATTTGGGTAGACTTAATTTTTCGAATATAAAAAAAAACTGCACGAATTAAATGAAAATATTGTTTACATCTTATTATATACATATTTTTGTCGTGAAATTTCTTATTGCATTTTATGTGATATAAATTGCACGAGCTTTTCTTTTTCTTTATATTCGTGATGCTCTCTCTACTTAAAATTCATAAAAATTGAAGGGAATCATAATTATTATATCATATTGAAATAATTGAGGATTAACCTCGTAAGAAGACGGGTTTGCTGATGGCACGCCACGTTCATATAAAAGCAAATGGCTTACGCCGCCTTTATCCACGGCAACCGTTGTATTTATCGAAGGCACATCCTGCCGGGACAAAGAGCACAAATTCCGCCTCGATTTATGACGTAAAAATGCTCGACCGATTTAGCCGCCTCTTCTCTTTAGTCGATGGTGGCTACCGCCGCGAGACCTCGGTCCGACTGGAAAATTGCAATAATAACGGTGATTTCGCGTCCATTTGTCCGCAATGAGTGCGCGCTGCGCGAAGCGCGGCGGTCGTGTTCACGGTTAGTAAATACCCGGCCGGTGTATATAATTTTCCTCGTGCCACTGGAAGTGCTCGGTTACTTCCTTTTTTTTATCCTCTTCGCAAACTTTCCAGAACGGGCATGCGAGAGGCGCAGTATCGCGGGGAAATACTGACACTTCGATAGATAACGAGCAGACGCGCCGAGAAATTCCGATGTAAGAAAACCATAGGCATATGATTTGTGCCGATAAACACGCTCGCATCACTTTTCTGTCTCTCTGTAAATCTCGCGAATCACGCATACAAAAAGTGATTAAAGTTCCACGAGAATTATGGCTAACTGAAGCGCTCTCGGTGTGCCTAAGTTAGACTTATAAGAAAATTGAGTTAATGCAGTAGTATTACGTATTTCTATCATTGCCTTCTAACTACTTCCTTATCTAGTGCTAAATGATGTATCGATTGCTCGCTGTATGCATTGCGATGTAAGCGAGTTAATCGGAATCATTTTTTTAAACTAAAAATAAGAAAAATTTGTATTTTGCATTTTATTCCTATTATTTTAAGCAAGCAATTACTGATTAGTTTTGTCACGATATGTTAAATCAATATGTGTGATCATGTCGATCAAATTAGAAAAGTTTTAGATGTCTAATTGCAATATTATACTTTTAACCAACGTCGCGCGTGTAATGCGTATTGAAACCGTATTAAATTACTGTATATGAATACGCTTTTATTAAACGCAGAACACGCCGCAATAAAATTCAATAAAACCCGAATGGTACCGAAATTCAATATGTTATATTAAATTTTTGTCATAGCTTTCCACGGGGAAACGGTTCTGGCTTTCAATGCACGTTTAATCATATTTTATTTCTGACGGATTCGTGTTCATTCCGCGCGTTTGAAAAGCTTCACACGGCGATAAATCGCATCTGCATCTCCGCGGGCTCGCAATTAGATGACGCGATAGGGAAACGCTTTGAAGTATCGGATGCAATGTATCCGATGCTTGTAAGCGACAATGGGAGTAAGAAACGTCGGTTGTAGATCTTGCTTTTGTCTCGATCGGTGAGGTGCGATATACCTGGTACGCACACCCACGCCGCGTGCTATGTACACGCGCTCGGACGGCGTCGTCGTATGCGGACGATAACGCAATTCCGTACATGGTATATACGCGGCTGCGAGCGAGCACCGTTTCTCGGAGTCCATTCGGCGTGCCCGGTACACCCGTATTCGTTGAATTCCAATTCCGATTTGTATTCCAGCCGCGTCCGTGCGCTTTCTCATCCAGGGAATATCCAGGTTGCACAGATTGTTTCCGAAGCGCGCCTTACTCAGGCGATTGGCCGCGTGTATAAAGTAGACGTGCCACGATACAATATACGAACGTCATTATTCCTGGAAGTTACTCGTTCCTTTTCGCGTCTTCGTTAGGAAAGGAACTCGTGTATTCGCGCCGGAAGGGCGGCCCGCGCCGAACAGGAAGCTGCTAAGAGGGGCGATCGTATCGGCCGGACCGCGCTCGCCTGTCTTCTCGCATCGTCGTTATCGCGCGATTTCTCGCGTCTGGCTGGACTGATCTTGCATAACGGCGCATGATTTGTTAATGTCACGGCGGAAGGAGTCGCGCTCGGATCACTTGCGGTCGCGCGCACCGTGAAATCGCGCGACTGTTTACTTTTTGCCGAGGGATAACAGAGGATATAAATTGCAGTTCGGATTTTGCGTAGGCTTGAAAAAATTTATGATCCTGTTTCTTTTCAACCGTATCAACCGTATCGTGCGTTTTATTGGCGGACGCGTGCAGCGAGGAGTCGTGCGGCGCGATGCGCGGTGCAAATCGATTGCTATGAGCCTGTATCGCGGACAAATCTCCGGAATCGCGATCGAAGGCCATCGGCAGACTCGTAAATCGCGTTCTCTTTCTTTTTTTTTCTTCCTTTTTTTTTTTTCGCCGGAGGCGAGTCCACGGATCCAAGAGTCGCGGACGAGTCGTTTCGCTCCGGGGGCGAATACGGGCGTATGCACGCACGCATTTACGCACTTAGGCGTCCGCTCGCACGAATTACGAGCCATATGTAGCGCGTGCGTATGTACATCTCGGATCCCGCGTCCTCCCGCGGATTATACGCGTGCACTTACGAGATCCGCTACGCGCGCGCGCGCACGCGCGATTGCTCGGAGCGGCGAAGATTCTATCGTCTCTCGCACATGCGGATCGCATGCATCTCGGCAGCGAAGCTGCAAATTGAACATCTGCCGTCTCGTCTGTGCAAACCAGTCGCATGCGTGCCATGAAATCCCAATTTTTATCGCGCAGCGTCGTTCATAATGCCTGTGAAATGCGACCATTAAAATTGCGATAATAAACATAAAGGAGTTCCATGTTTCTTTATGTTTATTGTCGCTATAAATCGTATAATGTAGTTACAAAACGAATAAGTGCAGTTATAAATCGTATAATAAATTATCATTATGCTATTCTAATTTTAAGAGTTTCCTACAGAGAACTGTTGGTTCTATTTTTTTGTGTGAAAGTTATCTTTAACTCTGGCTTAACTTGTATTTGAACCTAAATTTATATAAATTTTT